TGAGCCAAAATCATCACAATTAAAAGAACCAAAGACTTAAACTACTTCAGTCTGTGTGCATTGAATTTATTTAATACACGAGTTTCACAATTTGATTTGAATTACTGAAATAAATGAACTTTTCCATGACATTCTAATTTATTGAGATGCACCTGTAGATAATGATTTAAATGGTTCCTGAGCACTCGTCTGGGGTTAGTGTAAATGCCCATCTTACTGTACACTGTCACGCTTATTGCATGGCTACTTTGCTAAATAAATAAATAATTGGAAATGAAATACTGATCAGAACTGAAAATACTTCACTTAAGTGAGAGGAAAGAGACCATAAGAGTTCTGAGAGCTAAAAGTAGCAGCGAAGGAGTTAATGGACAAATGTACAGTTTAGCGGTCATTCAAAACATTTTGACCACACAATGACCGATCAGAATTGAGTATTTCATAAAGCTGTGCAATATTTTGCATCAATACCACAGTTTAAATCCTAGTATAGCTATATACAGTATGGAAGCTTTTTCCCCACAATGATAAAACAAATGGTAATTGCCACTTTTTCTCTCACAATTCTCTGAAAAAAATACATATAAACTTACAGTTCTGAGAAGAAAATTGTCAGTTGTGAGATGTAAACTTGTAATTGCAAAGAATAAAGTCAATTGTGAGAAAAAAATAGCAATTTTTAATTTTTTTTTACTCTGTTAGAAATAAAACTGTTATGACTTTATACCTCGCAATTATTTTTCTCAGAATTGTGAGTTTATATCTAGAAATTTTAAGATCTTCCAAAAAAAAAAAAAAGATTTGCAAGAAAAAGTTGCAATTACCTTCTCTTTTGTTTTTTAAACCACAACAGTTATTCTAACCCAGCAACTCTTTAATTATGCATTTACTTAAGGTAGAAAGTTAGTCCTATGGACATTTTATTGCACTCAAATATATCTCTACTTTCATAATATAACTAACAGCCTAAGTTTCCAACTTTAAACATCCAACAACATATGTACCTCATCAAATAACTACATTGTAAAATAATTATTAATGCATTAAGTACAACAGTTAAAAAATCCCTGTACCCTGTATTGCAATAAAAACATTTAAAATTTGATATTAATATTGCATGAAACATTTGGTCTTGGTTTGGCTTTATGTAACATTAATTGCGGTTAAGCTGGTACCACTTCTGAGCATTTAAGGCACGTATTTCCAATGTTAATGAGGTAAAAGACTTCTTAAAGTGTACGTAAACACTGTCATCAGTGGTTTCTCTTGCTGTTAGATCAGTCCGTCCCTTTATGCATCAGTGCTGTTTGCCCAGGTGTCTCCTGTTGACTGCTCTGTCACCGTATTTGGTGAGGCTGTGGCTTCCGCACGGAGTCTCCGGTAATCCGTGTGGAAAAAGCCAACAAAGCAGCAGGTGCCCAGAGTACACAGGCCTGCCAACACCAGCACTGGCACTGTGTGTGTGTGTGTGTGTGTGTGCATTTAGGATAAAGAGCAAGAGAGAGAGAAACAAATTAATGCCTGGAGTTCAGCCCAACTCTATCATTAACTCATCAAGGCATCAAGTGACCAGGAAAAGCCGGAAGGCTGGATTAATTTGGACGTGTTCCCATTTTGAACATTTTCACTACCCACATTGGATTCAGTTTATGTGGAAAGTAGATGTGAAACTAGTGCACTAACCATCCACACTAGACTTGCAAAGCATGGTGGGAGTCGTGACACGGTGAAGGGAGGAAACTATTCGCCACTAGAATAAAGCCATGCTTTTTACCACTTACTGCACAGCGCACTGCATACTATCAGTTAATACCTAGTATGTGAAATATTTCAAATAAGTGCAATACTCACCTGTCCAGCTCAAATTGGCATCTGCTCCAGTAGCACATACAGATAATGGAGAATCTGCCATTGGTTTGGCCAGAGCTTGTAGCAGGAGCAGATAAAGGGCGGCCTGAATTTGTCTGATTAAACATCACATGAAACACATCAGTAAAGTCTATAAGATGGTAATAAGCTTAAAGGAATAGTTCTCACCCTCAGGCCATCCAAGATGTAAATAAGTTTGTTTCTTACGGTGGCCGAGAAGTGCAGAGCAAATCACAATTCTGAAAACAAAATAACAAATTACAAACGCAAATGCAAGTTTAAAAAACTAAATAAAAATTCAGAAAGCACAACAACAATTCAGAAAACATTATAACAAGTCAGAAAACACAATGACAAATTCGAAAACAAAATAACAAGTCAGAAAACACAACGACAAATCCGAAAACAAATTTACAAGTCAGAAAACACAACGACAAATCCGAAAACAAATAAAAGGTAGGTATAGTTTATGAGACAGCGCCATTGGTTTGGGATTACCCACCGCTGACTGGACGAGACATCTGTCAACCAACGTATACAGGAAAAACCAGCCGAAGAACAGCAGAGTCGTCGTAGAAAGTTCGGAGATGGTATTAAAGTAGCTCAGTTTAAATGTATTGTATGAATTGCCCTCACTCTGGAATAAAAAATA